GTTCATGGCTGGTGAATGAAGGAGGCCTGGCAAGTGGAGAAAGGCAGGTGCTGGAGGAAAAGTTGAGAGTCTTTTCAATCAGGACAAAAATCAGGAAAACCAGATTGTTAGGTGGGAAAAAAAAAAAAAAAGGTTTTTTCCTCTGTTGGAAAAGCTGGACTTTGTGTTCATTTCTTGTTAAATTCCAAGGAGTCCAAGAGGTGACACACCATGACTCTACAAGAAAAGCTTCAAGTAGAGTGTGAATGCAAGTTATGAGATGCAAATCTTTAAGAAAACTACCTTAATTTAATACACATAGAACTGTCTTTTATTTAGTACCCTTGCTTTTAATCTAGAGGTGATTATTGATCCTTTTCTGTCTAGGGTGGTGCTCCTGCAAGATTCCTCTGGCAGAGAGTATGATTTCCAGATAGCATTTGCACTTTTAGCTCCCACCTGCTCCACTTTGTAGAGGTACTTAACATTTCTATCCCCAAGCTCTTTGGGCTGGTTTACTCACTGGGTAAACTTTGAAAAGTCTGTCCTTTCAAAATAGGGAATTCCTGTGGCAAACATACTTTGATTTGTCCTCCTGATTGATTCACTCCAAGTGAGTTCTCTTGTAATCAGTTCACTCAAGGCTATTTCCTGCAGGCAGGTCTCTCCCAGTATTGTTGCTGTTTGTTGTGGTTACTCAATATCGTAAAAAAACCTGTTACTTCCTGTATGAAGAAATAAATGTCCTCAACCATTTTCAGTAGCAGTTGTTTTCCAGCTTACATCGAGAAGGCCAAAGAGTAACTTCCAAACAACATGACAGATGCTTTTGTCAATGCCCAAATCTGGTTTGGGCAGCAGCAGAGTTGACTCCTGCCAGCCAAGATACATTGGTTTTACCCAACGTTACCTTGTCCTAAAGCAACCCTGTTAAGTCCACATTATGGCCTCTTATTTTTTTACGGCCTGTAACATTAATGTATGTTGGTTTATAAACATTAATGTATGCTGGTTTTAGTTAATTTTTTAAATAGCTCATGCTCTTCCTGCTTCTAAATGCTATCCTACCACATTTCAGTTATCCCTCAATTAACCAGTGTGACATCTTGGATCAGCAGCTTAAGTTTGTTCACTTCATCTGGTGGTAATGCTGCAGCGATCTTGGGCCTTCTGGTGGCCCCCAGAAAGGAGCAGAAATTATTTTCTCCCGTTCTTCACATAACTTCAGACCTTCTTTCTGCGGCTTTTCTGATTGTTTTCTCTGTCTTCTGAGGCTATGGAAACTGGCTACAGCTAGAGACAGGATGCTAGGGGGGAGGCTGTATTCCCTAGAGTTGCTGAGAAACATTGCAGGCATCTGTTTGATATCTAACTCACGTGCAGGTTTAAGCCAATTGCCAGAGTTGCGTCAGGAAGGAATTTCTCTGCTGGTTTGGACTGGCAGAGTTCTGCATTCGTAGGAACATCAAAGCATTCTCACTTACCAAACTCTTTCCTGTTATACAGATAACGATCTTTCCCCCTTTGACATACTGTAAGTTGGATCTGAGGCTGGGATGCCATGGTGCACATGGAGTAAATACTTCCCTGTGAACTAAGTGTCTGGTACACAGGTTCCCTGGGACTGCAGGGAAGCAGTGGATAACTCAGCTGGTCCTTTCCTGTCCTGTGTTTCTCTTCTGACCAGGCTCTTTGAATTAATACCAAGTTTTTCTGTCTTGCAAATTATACTCAATTTATGAAAATTTCCTGATGGGCTCGCTCACTGCCAATACTTCTGCTGATCCTCAAACTCTCTTAATACTTCTTTAGGAATTGCCTTATGCCTGTCCAAGGTTCCTCCTCCTGTTACTAACACAAGCAAGGCAGATTACAAGGAACATTAAGGAGTAAAAGACTTGGGTAAATGGGCACATTTGCTTTGATTGCTACCCACAGTTCATGCTGGCAGGCAGACAGTCCCCAAATTCATAATGCTGCTGTGCCTTTGACCTCTTCTCCAGCACCAGAAAGACTTCTATTAAACACTACCATGAGCATCCATTTCTTTGTTCTCCAGTCTCCTTCAACTTAGGTTAATTCAAGTGAAGTTATTTGCACAGCAATGATTCTAGTTAACACTGTACTTGGAAGTCTTTCAAAACTGGAATTATTCTGAAAACTAAGTTATACAGATCTAATCCTGCAACTCAGTCCTCATTTGTTTAAACATGGTCTTCAAGTGTTCATGACACTACTTCAACATTTAGCTTAAAGAAATGTGACTTGGATTGAGAGAAGAAAACTAAGGATATTATTTTTGAAACGTACAATTATACACCAAGTGTCAATCTCAGGGTTGCTGGCTACCCTCTTCCTGGCTGGAGGTGGAGAAGATCAATTGTGATGGCTTGGAAGGGGCCATGTTTTGAAAGTGCCAGTCTGCTGTTATTTCAGGGATGAGTTTAGTAGGTGAGTGTGCAGCAAGCAAAGAGATAGTATGATGGGTAAGACTGATGTGTTCCTGAAGTTTCCTGGAATATCTGTAGAGGCAGGGTGCTAGCAAGAAAGTTATTAGCACGTCAGGGCACTTCCCAAGGACAGGAAATGATTAGCAGAGGAGAGGTATTATCTTCACTGTATGCTGCCCAGTGACATCTGAGTTCAGCTCTTCTCTGCAGCCTGGACCAGTGTAAGGCACCACAGGATAAAATCTCTATTAAAGTTTGGAAATTTTCTTAATTATACCAAGAATAAAAATTTTCAGTCTCCTCCTTTACTATACCCCAACTCTAGCATTTTGGCCAGGAAGCATGCCATGACACATTGACCCCTGGTGACCCTCATATTGTCTCTTGCCTCGCAGTCTTAAGACCTTAAAACAATTCTCACTGCAGAGCAGAGATCAGAAGAACAAATTATATTGCTAAAAATTAAAGAGTAACGAAGATAGGAGAATGCAGAGTTACAGCTTTGAAATATTTTTCCACTGCACTTCTCCATGTGGCTTAGCCATCTCTTTTTCCTCCCTCCTCTGACCACTTCCTTCCCTGCAGTAAATGCTGCAGGTCTCTGTGAGACTGCAGCCACTGCTCTGATTCCCCTCACCTACTCAGCTCCCAGCCCATGTTAATACCTTTCACAGTTCGACACCTTCCTGTAAAAGTCCGATACCTTCCTCCTCTTCCCTGACACCTAATGGAAGAGATCAGGAGATCAGACGTTGAGGTGCATAGGTGCCAAGAAACAAGAAGCAAAGGTCTGTCCCCACCCAACCCTGCCCTCCCGCCATCACTGCACAGAAGCAAAAGGACTGAGCTGCCAGCCAACCCAGCACAGACACAGGAATCTGAGCAGGACGCTTAACCCAACTTCATTCATTGTACAGTTGAATAAAAGCCCATCAATTCCAAGTTAAAATCTTTGAGACCACTGGTCCAGAGAAGGCACACCAACTGGTGCAGATTTGACAGCTTTTGTCTACAACACAGATTCCGATTTGCTCATGGGACAGGTGTGAGGGAGTTTCCCAGAGGAATACTTATCCTGCTGCAGGTACAGCGATAACAAACTTCTAAAATTTCTGTAGTTTCATTCTCAGCCAGACTTGCACCATCAATATTTAATCTGGAATTCCAAAATCACTTTTTCCAGTGATCCCAGTGAAGAGGGAGTTAGGCATGTTTTGGGCACTGCCATCCTCTCTTTCCCATGTCTCCCAGCTATAGGTAATCAAGCCAAGTCAGAACAAGGATGAATAAAAACAGGTTCTTCCAAGTAGCTTTTTCTTAGAAGATCAAGGCTATGAAGTCAGTCCGATGTCACCCACAGTCCTACGCACAGAGTCCCAGCAAGAAAAGAAAGCAGGAGAGTTGGAACCAGAAGGACCCTGATCCCGGCTTACAGCCCTGGCACGGATGGCTTGGCTGGACAGGTTAGAATCGAGGAGCTCCGTAATCATCTGGCATCCTCTCAATATTGTATCTGAGAAAGAAAGAGGAAAAACTTATGAAGACAACCTAATCCACATTGCTCCCCTCCCCATGCAGCAACAGGCTTACAGGCAGACTTAACAGCAAGAAGCTTTGTTACATTTCTATCTGCAGCTCAGATCCCCAAGAAGAAAAATATTACTTCCGAAAGTGAAAAGCCTTCATAAGGTTGCTGTTATCCTTCAACTCAAATTCAGAAATAGGGCATCTCAAAAACTTACCATCTCCAGAGAACGAAAAGGATGGTGGTTTTCTAAAATCTGACTCAGGATTTAAGAGCAGACCACCACGGAGAATAAAACTTTGGCCATTCAACTTACGATTCACGGCCACAGTGAATAAAGGACAAAAATGTTTTGAGATAAAAATCTTCTGACCCACGTTCGAAGTAAAGAGCAGCTAAGACTTTACATATTTATAGCAATCAGCCTCCTCATTTCTGACATACTGCTCTATCTGCATATTACTAGACTCCTTGTCTCCACTGGTAGCACAACTGCTTCCTTTCCAGTATCTCTCCCATCTGAAAACTTTTCTCTCCACATCCTGACCTCCCTCCTTACCCTGCTACCAAACTTATCTACTATACTGTGAAACAATTTGGCATAGGTTCTAAGCAAGATAAATCTTCTGGGCTGTACATTATGTAGAAGAAATATTAAAACACTGGATGTGACAAACAAAGGCGAGTAAAGTCTTCTTTATCTAGGCTTTATAAGTGCTTTGGAAGGAACAGGAAACGAATTTAAGCAAATGTTTTTATAGCAGATCACTGGTCCTATTGCATATAAAAATTTAAATACATAAAGTGAGTAAGTACTTGCACATACTGGGAAAATCTGTTGCATTGAAATTGCTGTACTAGCATCCTTCCAACTTGGTTTGTTTTTTAGCTAAGAAGCAAATTCAGTCTTTTAGCTGAGGGTACACAAAGCTACCAGAGAGAGTATGTTACAAGAATGGTTCTTTTCCTCGAGGAGAAGAATCATTCTGGTTCCGTGTTCTATTTGGTAGCTTTGTGTACCCTCAGCTAAGAGACTGAATTTGCCAGGTGTTTGCCTGGTAGTCCTGTTGCTGCTGCTGGTAAGCAAAACTGATCTATGGAAACACTGGCCTCAAGGAAACTAGTTTTCCAGGTAAAGGCAAGTGAACACGCAGACTGCAATAAAAGTGACTGTGCAACCAGCCTCTTCCCAGCAGCAGCTGTAGTTCTGTTTTTGTGCAGACACTAGGCCCTTTACTGCAACCTGCACTAGAGACAATGCAGGTGGCAAGTACGTGGTGACAGAGTCCCTGTCAGACGAGGATTCTGCCAGGCAGTGTTCCTCCCTGTCAGGAGTCCCTTACCTGTGCCTGGAAATATACATTATAGGCACTCCTGGGATTTTTCTTATTCTCCGCTTGAGCTCTTTATCCACTGTGGCCACAATGTAACACTTGTGCTGCAAAAAAAGAGGCCAGTCAGGTTCAACACCAGCAAAATCGCAGGAAGGAGACAAACCTAAGCAGCAGCTTCTGTTCCGTGAGCTCGTTTAACACAGGAGGGCTACGGGTCCACACCGACGCATTACTAGGACTTGCGCAGAATTCCACAGCAGACTAATAACATCCTACTGCTCATCAAAATGGACTTGCAAAAACATCCAAAGGCTGTCCAGCCTTCTCAGCTGACAGCTTTCCCATCCTAGATGCTGTCCTATACAACAAGAACGCTCAGGGAAGACTATACCTCGCTTCAAATAAAGTTGTGCTAGGGACTGAAACTGCAGTTTAGTGAGATTTTACTGGGGATTTACTGGAGATTTTGTGGGAAATTTAAGTCATCAGTAACTAGGAGGGTTCAGGAATTTCCCCCATTACACAAACAGAAAATTTCAGAAACAGAAATACCTGAGTGACCCTCTGTACCAAGCAGTCATCTGCGTAGGTTCCTTTGTGCATACATGGCAAGCGTTCAAACCGAGGGTCCTTGGCAATTCTGTGGGGACATGTAAGGCAGCATCACAGCAATCAGACCAGAGCGTACAGTAACATGGTATGGAGGAACAGGAGCGTCCTTTTCTGTGGAACGCAGCACGTTATTCTCAAAACTAGGGCTGAAGGGATGGAGCAAATGGTACACATCAGTGCACTGAAATGAGGAGCAAAAGCAGAATGCAGTTTGTCTGTCTCATTATTATAGGTTAAGTGTTTCTTAGTATTTGTTAGTTGGATTCAAGTTCCCTCCAATGTTAGGCTCTTGCCTAACAAAGTCATTTGAAACAAGTTATCTGTGGGAAGAACTAGAACTTCTGGTATCTGATTGTTTATACCACATGTATAGGAACACTTCACCTCCTCTCTGATGTGGAACATCAAAGCTGTTTAGGGGATGCACTCGGATACTGTACAACACAAGAGGCCAAAATAAAAAGTAAAGAACAATATATCTGACTGGTACACCCAGAGAGCACAAACTACACCCGACTAGTTTTGTACAGATCACACAATAACCTGGCTCTAAATTAGCAGTGCGTGCTACCTACTCCTACAGAAATAACATGAGGCATGAGTGAAAGGTTCCATAAGACTTGGGTCACTTCTTTCTTTATACTCATAGCTAGCATTTAGTTTTTAAAGAAATAATCTAAAACTCAAGCCACTGTACCAACCTCATACAGCCGCAGAACTAAAACCAAGCTCGGGATTCTGCAACAACCTAACTACCCTCTGGTGCAAGAGCACCGTCATGGAAAGTGCTTTTCATTTATTTATACTAAAACATTCAGTTCTAGAAACGGAGAAGAACACCCTGAACCTACCTTAACGCCACACGGTACTTCTGCCCCAACTTCTCAATTTCGCCCATTACACAATCTGTGATACATGGAATACCTACGTGCAAAAAAAGCCTATATTAAAACCAAGCAGTATGTCTTCACAGACCCCTACGTATTGCCCACACACCCAGGAACTATCATGGAACTCTATAACATATTACTTACAGTTTTGAACTTATGAGAACTGATAAGGTTGCAAAGTGATGAAATGTAGAGCCACTAAGTTTGACCACACCATGGTAATTTTAGATTTTTAAGTTACTAACGCTTTACCTTTGTTGCAATTAGCATTTAAGACTGTTGTTTGACTGAAACCAGAGACAGTTCCAGGGTTACCATAGCTATGAACAATGAACTCAATGACTAGAGCATGTATCCTTTTTCCAAGATTTCTATTACTCTCAGCTAGTGGTATGAGGCTGTCGAAGCACACCACGAGCACACCGTGGCACTCTGTGGCCCAGGAGACGCTGCGGGTGATGCAGAAACTCACACTTGGCATAGAGACAGTCCATCATCGACTGCACTAGGTCCAGCTTGGCCTTGATGGAGAAGTTGATGAAGTTAGTGTCAACCAGGATGTGATAAGGGGGGCCCAGCTGGGTGTTATACTGGAAGAACAAGCAAGAGGGATGCTGGGGGCTGCCGGGAAGACAAAGAATTCAAATCAGTTAATAGCAATTAACAACAGATCCAACCCCACAGCTTGCACAGAATGGGGGAAGGGTGACGAGCAGGAACACAGCAAGGCAGTGTAGGATGGCGGGCTCTCAGGCCCCCCGCCGCCTCCCAAGCCCAACCCTCGGTTTGGGGCGCCGTTCATAAGTCGAAGGGCCGGCAGCACTTACACCTCCCGCTCCTTGATGGCACTCGGGTCCTCCTTCTTCTTCACGACGGCCTTCGCCCGCTG